AAGCGCGAGCAAGAAGACAATCGCAGCAACGCAACGCAACATGGAGAGTGAAATTAGACAGCGGCTGGGAGCTGGGAGCGTCATTTTGGCCATGAATAAGAAGATCAGTGAGGTTTGCGGTTTGCAGCTTCATTGAAGAGATGTCTGGCCAAAGCCGGCAAAACACAATGACTGACGGAGGTCGCCAGGGTGCTAAGATGCGCCCGCCCATACATGTAGGATCATGTTGGTTACGCGGCTATGCGCAAAGTATTCGCAGAAGGACATGAAACTATGTGTTGAGCCTAATAGGAAACCGCTTGCTGCGACACGTGCGCATGAGCCAAAAGAAAAAAACAACAAGCGGGGAAATCGGGATGGGTTCGGTTAGGGTTAGGTTGCAACGCAACACGGCAGCGAGAAGAGCGCCAGCACGAAAATGTGTTCCAGCGCAAGGCGAGCTTCAAGTTCCGCAATGTCTTATGTCTGTTCTTGAAACGCGTCAAAAATCAAAATCAAGCATCTCAAGCAACTCCCGAAGCCCGAAGCCCGAGCCGAAGCCCCTTCAACCCCGCAATCACAACAAAAGCACCCTAAAGGCAAAAGGCGCGAGAGCGCGAAAGTTCCACGCCACTGTCTCCAGCTCCACAATCGACAACATCAGACATGAAGCACTGAAGCACCCCAAACCCTAAGCGGCGCGTCCAGACATTTTACCGCCATCAATCTGCTTGCAAAGACCGCCGCTCAGTGCGCTCCACCCGACCCGACCTGGCAAGACAAGCGCCAAGCAGGCAAACGTCAAAAACATCTCGTTTACTCAAGCTGCCAACCATCAAGTCATCAAGTTGCTCAAGATTCGATCAACATGCAAATGTTCGTAGCCTGGCTTCCAACAATCGCAACACATTAAAAACAAGTTGAAAATGGGAAGGTCCCTGGACAGCATGGCTGGCCTCCGGAAAGCTGCCAGGCTGCCACAATGGACTCAAATGGACTCCCTGCGCAACAGCCAAATCTCAAGGCACACCATGAAAGAGCAATGGCCTGGGCTTCCGAGACCGAGACCAGTTGCCTGTGGAAGCCTGGGCCAAACTCTGCTTACGAGCAAGCAAAACTAAATCTTGGGCCGCTGCCAACCACCACGCAAGTCCTCGGCGAACCTGCCCGCAGGCCACAAAACATGCCTATCAAACGCTTGGCTAACATGGCCTAGAATTTGTCAAGATTCGAATCCTCATCAGCCTCCTGTTCAAAATGAAGCCAGAGCACCTCCAAGGATGGCCACGCAACCAGAAAGACCAAAAGCTTGTGGCAAGTCGCAATCAAAGCTCACCGAAAGGCAAATGCACAAGTGAATCTTTCTCAGCTCGCAAATCGCCAGTGCCAGAGCTTGCAGCAACATCTACGGCGGGCTCAAAAAAGGCGACATCGAACTGGCGGACGCGGCGGACCCAAGTGACCCAAGACTCATGCAGCTCGCGCCACGGCCTAGCGGCCCAGCCCCCTTCTTCTTGTTAGGAGTCCTGCATGCGCCTGCTGCAGGGCTACTGATGTCTGCACGCTCTTGAGCCTCTTCACCTCTTTCACCACCACCTCGTACATCTGTCGGCGGCTTGGGCTCTGGCACAAGGAAGGATCCCAGGGAAAGGCCCGAGGCGGGGTGCGGCTTCACCTTGCGCCGCAAGTTGGCGATGACATATGCGCCAAGCAGCCCAGCAACTGCTCTGTGCATGGCATTGCCAGCCATAGATTTCCAGCAGTGCTCACTGAAGCCCATGGAAGCAGGGAACTCCTTGAAACAGGAGGTGCTCAGACGCCAAAGCCAAGCGTTCCTTTGTGTTGCTCCAAAGAAGGCTTCCGCGAAGGAGCACTGGAACAAAATCGTTTGTCTTTGTCCAATCCACTTCCTGTTGAACGTCGCAGACCCAACTGTGCACTTCAAGCCCGCGCAGCTTCTCCTCTGTGTTTTTGAGCCGCCGCTTCTGAGCAGGAGTCAGGAGTGCGCGAGCATCGATGTGGCCATCAGCGCTGACCTTGTGCTTCTTGGCGGCAGCCTCTTGCAGCCAGCAGGCCACGTCCCCCTCCAGAGCCACCATCAAGTCTGAGCCAAGCAAGGTCGGGGACATCCCAAAGATCTGTAGAAAGCGCGTCACATCGCCAGTAAAGAACCAGCCCCTGCGCAGGACTCCCACTGTGTACCGCCTTGTCCTCCGCACAGGCCATCCTAGGTGCTCCGGAGAGACCTCAAAGGCGTGGAGAGCATACCTGACAGCCAACGCAGTGCAGCACTTTGCACAAGAAAGAACAAACAGAAAACAAAAAAACTCAAGCTTACAACTTCCAACAGCATACAACCGCACGACATGCTCATTGCTCATAATGAAAGCATTTCTCAAGGTGAAGCAAAGCACGCCCCTGAAAGGAACTCGGACAAAATATCCTCATCATGGGCAGTAACGTTCTCGTGGATGACAATCTGGGACAGGTTGCGAAGGGTCACGCAAACCCAGACTACAAACACAAAAAAATTGCTTGCTCCGTCTTGCAGTCTGCTCTTGTTCATGCGAGACCACTGGTAGCACTCTGTTCCAGAAATTCTCACGCGCACTGTCTCTGAGGCGCAGCCTTGGCGTGTCACCGGCGCAAACTGCCCGCTGACCATGTCATACTGGGTTCTGTTCTTGGGCAAAAACTCTTCCATGTTGCCCTTGATGCGGTTCGCCACCTCTCTATAAGCTTTCTTCTTGACTTCAGGAGGCTCATCTGCGTTGGGCAGCATCTCATAAAGCATCTCCAGCTTCTCGTGCGGAATCTGCTGCACCAAGTCTCCAAACACACGCGTCCGCTGGTTGCGGTTGCCTCCAAGCCTGCCATCCGGACCGTCGCCTTCATCCGAGACCAGCAGCTTCAGCAGAGCTTGGCAGCTGGCGTCCTTGTCGCAAACACTGTGAATGCACACCTGAGCATCCTCCACTCCTGCGTTCTTCAACGCGCACAGCAAGCCGCCCTCCCCGTTGCCGCTGCCACTGTGGTCCGAGTCAATGACTATGCCTTGCTTTAGGCGGTGCTCAAGGTTGTTCGACAAAGAACTGTCAGCCATCAACTTGGTCTTCACTGCGCTGGCCCACTGGAAGAGGTCCTCCACGTTGTCTGGCCCAGGCGGCATGGGAGGCAAAGCAGCGGTCTTTGCCTTTGCCTTTGCGGCTCGGCTGGCACCGGCACTGGCAGGTCGCTTCATGGCTGGAGGAGGCCTAGAAGTTGCAACCTGAGCTTACTTCACTCCTAGATGCATCACATTGGCTCAATGGCCTGAACTTGAGAAGCAAATTTGCACTTCGCACTGCCCAACTTCAGCCCGCAGCTGCACAAAGTTGCAGCAACCACTCCCAGCTTCTCGTGTAGCTTGAACTTTGCACAGCACTTGCGCCCGGCACTTTCTCAAACCCAGCCTTGCGACTGCGTGTCTGAGAACTGCCAGGTCTGACCTGCATGCGTTTGCAGCCCAAAGCAAAAATTGCAAACAGACATGGCCTGGACACCACCGGATCTGGCACAGTGAAACTCCAACAACCTCGCCGCTGCTTCCTGGCAGCAAGCGTATACTGAAGCCAGCATCCTAAGCCCTAAGCTAACATCAACTCACATCTGTAAGAAATGAGGGTCTGGCGCAAACTCCAACATCAACCTCGCCGCTTCCCTTCCTGGCGCAAGCGCGCACAGTTGCCTGTTGCCAGCATCCTAAATAAGCTGACATCAACTCACATCTGACGCTGACAGAACTAAGGATCTGGCACAGTGAAACTCCAACACCAACCTTGCTGCTGCTTCCTGGCCGCAAGCGTGTACTGTACTGACGCCAGCATCCTAAACCCTAAGCTAACATCAACATCAACTCACATCTGACACAACTAATCATCTGGCACACAAACTCCAACAGCACCCTCACTGGGACCCTCACCGCTACTTCCTGGCCGCAAGCGTTTAGCGACGCCTTCGCCCTATACGAAATCCTAAGCTAACATCAACTCACATCTGTCAGAACTAAGGGTCTGGCGCAGTGAGGCGCAGTGAAACTCCAACATCAACTTCGCCCCCCTGACCTGGCCGGAAGTGTGTACTGTCGCCAGCATCCTAAACCCTAAGCTGACATCACAACTCACATCACACTGACAGAACTAAGGATCTGGCACAGTCATAGTGAAACTCCAACATCAACCTCGCCGCTGCTTCCTGGCCGAAAGCGTGTACTGACGCAGCCTCCTAAACCCTAAGCTAACATCAACTCACATCTGGCGGAACTAAGGATCTGGCACACCGAAAACTCCAACATCACCCTTGCCGCTACTTCCTGGCCGCAAGCGTTTACACGGCGACCTAAACACTAAGCTAACATCATAACATCAGCTCACATCCGGGCCGCTGTCAACTCATACAACCGATGCGTTCAAAAATGTCGCGCCTTTTGCTGCGACATTTTGGGCCCTCCAGAGGCCGCGCAACATCCCCAGCCTCGCCAAGCTCAGCCACAAGGCTCAAGGCAACACACAACCCAGCAAGGCAACATCAGCTGCAAAGCCAATGAGGGCTTATCTGACGCCAATTCCAGGGAGCTTATTTTTTGGGAGACTTTTTGGGCCTGCAACATCCCCACATCTATCAGAACGAAGGATCTGGCACGGCAAGACTCCTACAGCACACACCGGAGCTGGACCCCGCCCAACCAAAAAACCCCCGTTTATGGACCATTGTTAGGACCCCCAACCACTCCAACATCATACTTCCCTCCTCATCAAAGCTTGAAGAAAGCAGACCACCCTTCGCGCATGGCCTTGAAGGAAGCCAGGGCGTGGAAGACCATCATCCTTATCCTGAAGCAAAACTCGATGCAACCCATTCAGGCTTCATTCAGGCATGACAGCGCGCACGTGCCGTGACAGAACAGCTTGCCTGACACGATGTCATATTTTCCACCAAATGCCAATCGCCGAATTGCCAATCGTGGCATCAAGTCTTTTGCACTAGTCCTCTTCGGCAAGCGTGTTCATGTAGTCCAGGACCTCTTTCATCTGCTGCTGCACTTTTTCCGACTCTCCCCAATTGGTCATGGCGAGGATTTGCTTCATAGTTTCCACGTCACCTTCCAAGTTGCGCCAGCTGCACCAGCACGAGCGAAGGAACACGCTCTTGCTTTCCAGACCAACCTCCCAGACCATTGACATGGGCGGCACATACAGCAAGTCATACTCGGTCAGCACAATCCGTCTCATGGACTGTGTCTCAAAACACTCTGTGAGATGTTCCAGAAGGTAGGCGCCGTTCAACCAAGCAGTCCAGTCAGTGGCTGGACCAAGATTGGAGCACACACTCAAGTAGGTCTGCAGCGGCATGATCAGCATATCCAGGCCGCCCTCCAGCACCAGCAAAAAGCGCGGCGTTTCAGCCACACTCACTGTCTGCTGCCCGCCAAGAACTCCCACCAAGGCCATGGCACACAGGCTGCTGACCCTCTCGCTGGCCTGCTGACCATCCTTGCACATCTTCGCCATGGAGTCGCCCTGCATCTCTGTCAAGATCTGCGCCACCTGTGTCCCAGTGCCATCCTGGATCTTCAGGAAAGCACGGCCATGCTTCTGTGCTGGGGCAGATGATTCGAACTGCGAGCTGAACATCATGAAGCGGCCATGCACGGCAGCGTCAGAAGTCAGAGCAGATTTCAGGCTTGCCTCATCATGCAAGACCCACGGAGCGGCCCACAGCTCATCAGCATTCTCGTCCCGATTCTTCAGGAAGCTCGCCTGGTCAGAGAACAAGAGAACTTCCTTGACACCCGGGCCGCCGTCATCCTCCAAAGCAGCCAGACGCTTGGGCATGGTATCAGCCTTGCTCTTTCGCTGTCTCTTCTGGCCCTTTTTCGCTTTGTTCTCCTGCTCCTTCTTCTTCTTGGTTTCTTCTCTGGCAAGGCGTTTCTGGTCCGCTTCCTGCAGAATTTGTGAGGGGCCGAGGGGGGGTGGTTCATTGGAAAATGATTGAAAAATGCCTCCTCAAAAAAACTTAGGCGTGTTCTTTTGAAAAAGGCACTTCCCTGGAAAGCTGCTGTGGAAAAACACCGCACACGCAAATTCAAACAGAAAAAGCTACATGTTCGAGCCGCTCGACTTGAGCCCGAGTCCTCTTGCTTCTTGCGCAACTTCTCTCTCTGCCGGCAGTCTTTCACAGCCTTCAAAACCTCTTGCATGGCAGTTGAAACTGCGCTGTTCAATTGCTTCAGCGCAGTGCTTCCGCCGGCAATCACATTGATGATCGTCTGCAGGTCATCTTGCGTCTCTGCGGTCTTCAAACTCAGGATGCGAAGCGCCAGTGAGCCAAAGCTGCAGAGACAATCGGGCTGCGCACAGGGCTTGAGTTTGAGCTGGCCGGCACAACTGGCAATCTTGGCATCGTGCTCCTTGTACTTGCTCTCGCCAATCTTCACTGCCTCCTGGACTTTGCTTGGGGCTTCAACAAGGGCAGCCCCTGCAACATCCAAGCGCTCCTTCACCAATTTCTTGTACTCTTCCAGCAACTCAGACTCCGAAGTGTCCAGCTCTGCCACCTGAAAAAAACAAATGAGATTTCACACCAAACTGACAACCATGACAACATGCAAACAACTGAAACTTGCACGTGCCTCAACGCTTAGCATGATTGAACGATGCCTTGAGAGTCGAGACCGACAATGCCGCAAACAGACTCAGACTTCAAGCACTTCAAGCACGAGCGACGAGCATGCAGCAGACCTGGTGACCAAGCCTGCGCGTTCAACGTGTCGTAGTTCTTGCGAAACGGCATCAGGAGCACCACCTCAAACTGGTGGGCCCACTGTTCGAACGCTTTGAGCCGCTCCACTGCAAACGCCGCAGTGTTCGCACCGGCCACTTCGCTGTGCTCCGGACCACTTCCTTTGCCAGGACCCTGGCCATCCTTGGCTGCGGCTTTGGCTTTGGCTGACACTGACACTGGCAACTGAAGCGCTTCCTCTGGAGCTTCAAGTGTGGCTGCCAAGTTTGCCACAGCTGCGTCGCCTTTGGAGACTGCCCCCTCTTTGCGGCATTGGTTGGTGACCGCTGCCTCGTCGAACTCCTGGAAGAAGTCCTTGGTCTTCAACCGAACTCGTTCAGGGTAGCTTGGGTTGTCTCCTTCGTAGTCAACCACTCCAGCTGCAACTGCTGCGCCCCAGCGTTTCTCTATCTCCTGCTGGCAAACGGCAAACGCGCCAGAGGCGACTGAGGTTCCCCGGGTTTTCGGTTGACACCGTGACACCTTGCTCATTGCTCGCAGGCTCGCAAAATTCAAAACACAAAGCACGCACTGGGCACTGAGCATTGTTGCATTCTGCCTACTTACTTATTTGTCTGTCCTCCGTTGGGAGCAACTTCTTCTTGAAGTAAGCCTGGAAGTCGAACCAGTCCACAAGCTTGCCTGCGCTGCCGGTCTGATGCTTCTTGCTGAAGGCTTCTATGCTCTCAAGCCGTGCCAGCTTGTAACTTGCTCGAGCCTTGCCGCGCCCTCCGCTCGGACATTGGTTGTGGTAGTCTCTCACGAGCTTCCTGAAGACCTCACCGCCGGCAGCACGAACTTCTTCATACCTTGCGCTCCAACCGTTCTTGACGCTGTCAGCCTTCAAGCCCTCTATGTCACACTTGCATTCTTTGCACCACGGATGCTTGGCCAGAACTTGCTGGGAAGGGTTCTGGCATATGGGGCACACCTTGCGGCTCGAGCCCTTTGGACCCCCACCGCCTTCGCTCCCAGAGGGCCTCTCAGGCGTCTCAGGTGGAGCACTCCTTCTTTTCGGACCGGCACCGGCTTTCGCCTTCCTCTTTCCACCAGCTTTTGCCTTCGGCAGTGCTGGTGCTTCTTCCAAATCCAACTCAAACTCTTCGCCGCAATCTGCCATGGGGAATCACGCTAAATGAGCCATGTCAGCCATGTGACATGTGGTGCAATGCAATCACATCTGCTGACAAAGTCAATCAAACACACGGAGCTCACAAGCAATCGACAGCCCTCCCGCAGAAGCCACCAGGCACTCTCACTCTACCTCCGCACACAGGACAAAAGAAGCCAAGTCTGCATGTGCAGATCTCAATCAATCGCAAACGGACTCAAGCTTGCCAACCGAACTTTTTTACAACAGCGCATCCCCAGTCCCCAAACCCTAAGAGTGGCCGAGTGGCTTGTCTGAATTAAATTGAGTTTCGAACGCACTCCTTGCAAGGCACAAAGCGCTTGAAATCAACATCGGCTCGTCTCAGGTGATGGCAGCCTACATGAAAGACATGACGCGGCCCTCTGCTTTGCTGGGCTGCCACAAACACCTCCTGGGGCAAGCTGCTGTGGCTCGCATTGCTTTCCGGAAAAGCACTGGTTTTGCGCCGAGCGCGCAACTCCTTGATCTCCTTCTCCAACTCTCGCACGCGCTGTTCAGCGCACAAACAGGCATTGGCCATCAGTCTCAGGACTTTCAGGCTGCCACAGAGAACGACGAGCTTGCTGAGGCTGCCCTGGCACGCGTCTGCTGCAAGTCCACAAGCTTGCACAGCTTCCCAAACCAACAGCCAAAGCAACGCAAGCCGCTGCCACGAACACCTCTTCCGGAAAATAGGAGCCTGCCAGGATCCACTGAAAGCACATGGCCACCATCGCCAACAGAATATTTTGCAGCTTCCAGAAATGCCTCGAGCCAAGCTTTGCAACCAAAGGCCAAGCAAAGCTCTTGCAAGAAATCATCACCTCTTTGACAGGCAAGTTTGGTGCGGACATGGAACAGACCTGAGGGCCAAACCTTGGCTCCAGAAGGCGCTTGTGGCTGGCCGGTTGCCTGGCACAGCAAAGTGCAGAAGGACAAGCACACTCAACCAACTTCGAAGGCCTTGGATCTTCCGGCTGGAGCCAGAAGCTCTGGCCTGACAATTCCGGGCCAATTCCGGGGAGCTCTGGACTCTGGCTGGGAAACTGCCACCGCGGCCTTGTCTCTGCCGCAAAGGGTGCGGATGCCTCAGGACCGACCACAACGGCAGGGCGCAACTTGCGGACTGCCACTTGCGGACAAAAGTTCCGGGGAGTTCCGGGGAAACCAGTAGTTCCGGGGGATTTGAGGTGTTTCTGCAGGTTTCAGAACCTGCCGGATTTCGGGGGAGCTTGGCCCAAAGAGCATTTTAGAAAGGGAACCACTTTCTCCAGGACAGATTTTCACAAGTTCCGGGGAAGTTCCGGGGAGAATCGGGGGGTTCAGGGGGAAGTTCCGGGGGGTTCCGGGGAAGTTTGCACCCAACTGGTTTTGCGCAAATCGAGTTTCTGGAACGCAAAGAAAACCCAAACGCAGAGCCAGAACCCCCAAAAAATCCTAAGCACAGGAAATCTGGGGGAGAAAGCTGCCTCAGTTCATGAAATGGGGGTTCCGGAACCCCTGGCAAAGGCCCTTGGCTGACGTGCTGAAAAACACTCATCCGCTCCAAAATGCTTCAAAATGGAGGCATAGGTTATGACCCATCTGAAGTAAATCAAGCACCGAAATGGAACGGTCTGGCTCTTTTTGCTGGGCCGGGCGCAGCTTCATTCTGAATCGCTTGTGGAACTCTCGGAACAGCTGTTGCTGCTGCTCTCACTGCTACTATTGCTGCTGCTGCTTTCGCAGCAGCAGGAGGCCTTTGCTGCAGGCGCAACCTTTGCCTTTGCTCCAGCCTTTGAAGGTTTCCCCTTTGCAGGTCTCTTCCTAGCTGGCTCTGGCACTTCGTCATCTGCAGGCCGCTGGCGGTTGACAGCCTCCTCGCTGGGCAAAGCGCTCTCCAACGCGTTGAAAGATTGGTGGGCGCTCTTCGAATCGTAGGATGTTGCCATGTTGCACCAATGATGTATTCTGCGCAAAGTAATCCTCAGAGGATGGCATTCAAGCAAAAACAAAAAGGGTGGTGACCTACAACATAAACCAACAAGAAAGCAAAGCCACTTGCAGAAAAACTGTCTGGTTAATATGAATTGGGCAGCTCCTCTGTGGCTGCAACAAAGGACAAACTCTTTGTGCAGCGCGCGCTCTCGTCTCTGTGCGCCAAGCAAATGGCCTGCCAGCTTTCCTTCCCAGCCTTCGTAAGTTTGTGGGTGATTCGGAATGGCCCCCACATGTGAGTTTTTTCTCTGACCACGCGCTTTGTCGCAGCCGTATCAGGGCCCACATCCTCCCCCGCGCTGTCTCTTGCATCACGGCTGCCACCTGCGACTTCACCTGAAACCTCTGCCCTCTCATCAGCACTTGCTTCTGCGGCCGGCGCATCCGGATGTTCAGCCTCCTCTTCCGCCAACAACTTTTCCAACTCTGCTTCCAACGAGTTCTCAAACTCTGCAATCTCTGGGTCCAAGTTTTCGGAGTTGCCATCAGCATCAGAACAAGCTTCCGGGTCGGGCAAAACGTTGGCATTCGCTGGCCTTGCTGGCTGCTGGTCGTCCTGCATGCGCAAGAAATCGTCCAGCGGTCTCTTCTCCCACGCTGCCTCTGCAAAAATTTTGAAAAACTGTTCAGTTTGCGTGTGCGGCAGGGCCTGGATTCCGCACGCCAATAGCATATCACGCCTCAGCTCAACAGCCAGCATGGCTGACAAATAAGCGTGACTTGGTACGCCAGCCTTGTACACCCACATTTTGTGAGGAGGCCCAAACTCTGAAAGGATATGGCCCTCGCCCACATCCTCCACATGCAAAGACAGATCTGACCTCAACCTTGGTGGAATCTTCCGAATGCTCACGGACGCCCATCCCTTGCTCTTCAAGTGCTGGGCAATTTCGAAGCGGGTCCACTCAACCTTCTCTGGCAAATTCCTGTGGGCCAAAACAGAGCATGGACTTCGGAGCGTGAACAACTGCTGAGATTGCTCCACAGCCTTGGGAGTTAGGCGCCAAAATCTTCCTTTGCAAGCCCTTCCCTTTCCATCTCTGCCAGTATCAGCCTTTCTGCTTGGCCAGACACGCTGCCTTGAACTTTGTGGGCTTCTTTCGAGTCCGGCAAAGCTTTTGCTGCAAACAGCCTGGAAACTGCCTCGGACCACTTTGCTGGCCAATTTCCTCGCAGCGCAAAGGTGGGCTCCGGGTCAGTGGCGAACACAAACACCTTGTCCCGAAATAAAGCTTCATTCACCAATGCCACAGCCGTGGCTGCAGTCCCGGACTTGCCTAACAAAGCCGAATCTGAAATTTGTGGGCGAACAAACGGCACAACAAACTAACAAAGAAAACAAGCGAACCAAAACTGCTGCTCAGCTCAGCCCTGCAACCTTCTGGCACCCCAGTTGTGCGAAGCACCTGAGTGTCTGAATCCAGCTCCGCTATTGCGTACAAACTCACCGCCACATCCTTCGCGCAAAGCGAAGCCTGGAAGTTGCCTTGAACTTGTTTCATTCGCGAAGGATACCAGTGGTTCACTCTGAAGAGTGTGCACCTAGACAAGCCATCTTCGGGGACTATGGCCACCTGCGCAGCTCCTGACCTGGTCAAACCGGCAGTCTCATCTTCAGTGATCTGGAACTGGAATCCAGCATCGTCCACCGCCAAAGCCAGCGAAGGGCTCGTGCTCAAAGATGGCGCAGCCAAAACATCTTGCATGAGCCTGAACAAATCACTGTCACTGTCATAGCGGGCATCGGTGTCTGCGAGAGGCACAAGGGCTGCATAGTAGAGCGCAGTTGCGCTGGATCCGGTTTGCCTCCAGTGCTCCAAGGCGAAGTGCTGCGTAATGTGGTCCGCATCTGCAAGCGCCAGCTGAGGCTTCTTTTTGCTGAAGCTGGTCAAGGAAAACATGTCTTCAAAGTTCCGAAACTGGGTTTGGCGGTCACACCTGTACACAATTTTGTCTGCCACGGGAAAGGTGGCCTTCTTTGCCTCACCAACTGCAGGGTGGCCCAGCAAGCCCAAATGCTTCAAAAGCCATTTTGCGTCTCTGCACTGCGCCAAAATCGTAGCCACTTTGGATAATACACCAGCATCAGCGCCAAGCCGACTGCTGTCACACTGCAAAGGATTTAGCAATAGAGGCGTCCGCAGAGACAAAGATAGCAAGGCTCCAGAGTGGTTTGGAGCTCGAGCTACAATTCGGTGTATCTGAGTGCCTTCGACGCTTCTTTCCACAATTGGAATAAAGGAGACTGGAGCCAGGGCCTTGCGCCACTCTGCCATGTCTGCATCAGTGCGACTCAATTCACCACGCATGAAGCGCAGCGTAAGCTCCCGCAACTCTCCTGCATCAAGGAGCTTCCTGCAAAGTGAAAACCGAGATGCGTGCAAACACTCACTGCCGCTTTCCTTCAAACACTGCCACTGAGCAAGGACATTGCGGGCACAGAGGCGCGCCTTGTCATCGCAGGGGTGGCACAACCCAGCCAGCGCGTGAGGGAGCGTCGTCCAGAACCCAAACTTCAACTCAAGTAGAAACTGCATTCTCTGAAGCCCTTGGGACCAATCAGCAGTGCACTGAGGTGAAGCGAGCCAAGCGCCACTGAACTCGTTCTTCAACTCGTCCAGAAAACTGCTGATCTCGCCACAGGCGAGCTCTGGGGCCCGGCGGCCTCGAAGGGGGCAAGCCTGGGACAACACCCTCTCGACGCGCCTTTGCCAATGGCAGGCACAAGCCTGCGCCCACTCTGAGATTGCGTCCACAACCTGGAACAAGGCCCTCAGCATCTGCAAGTACGGCCACAGCTCTTGGCATGTCATAGCAGCGTCAAACGCGTGAAGACGTTTTGCAGACTGACCATCCCCCGTCTGTTCATAGCCTCAAGATTCCAATATTCACGGAGAGGTTGTTTTAGCGGCTCAAACTCTCGAAGGAATATGGAAACAGACTGCCATCTGTGATCCAGAATGCGTTCACCAAAAGCAGCAAACTTGGCGTAACGAACGCTTGCTGGGCCGCTACTGAACAGAAGCGCCTGCATCCCCTGCCTGAGGATCTTGTCTGAGAGTACAGCTGCCAGCGCGCACATGTGAGCCTTGAACTCCTCAAAGTGCTCCATAGAATCTGTAACATCATGGCAAACATTGTGGCATATGTGCAAAACTCCAGGGACCTGCCATGATTTTTGCAAAGTAAAGCATCGTGCATCCCCGTGCTCCGCAAGCTCGCCGTCAAGCGCAGCATAAGGCAACACTGCAAATAGTGGGGCACGCTGCCTGCTCAGGCCGCTTTCAGTTCCAAAGTCAGTGGTAACAGAAAAGACCCGCTCTGCAAAGGCGGGCGTTGCATCGCCAGCCAAAAGGAACATCTGGTGGGCCAAGGCTTGAAACTTGTGGTGCGTGTTGGTGCGCTGGAAGCCAAGGCCTGCAGGCGCTGCCAACTGAACATCAAACCCTGTCCGCAGCTTATCCTGAATGCTTTGCAACGTCTCCAACATTCTAGCTTCAGCATTGACGTCAGTGGATGTCTCACGAAGCCGTCGCGCCTCAAACTGTTCCAAAAAAAGCTGCAACGCGCAATCAGGGGCCAAGTCGTTGGTTCCAACAATGTGTACCTCTGTTATCAGCCAATCTCTCCCACCTTGAGGAGAGCTGTCAGTGACCAAATACAAGTGGAAATCACGCAGTGCTGTTTGGTCGGGGTCGAAGCAAGATTTGCACACTGACGGGACTGCAAGGCCAAGCTTGAGACAAAACATGGCTCTCTGCAGCAGGAAAAAGGCACTATCGACCTGCAACCTCCATCGAGACACAGAAGACGCGTGCGGCATTGGCATGTCCTCGATTGCGCGCACAAGCGCATACGCCACTTGACTGGGAAAAGCCACCATGATAGACCGCTTCAGCACTGCCTGCAGATGGTCGGCGTTCTTCAACTCTAAGCTAAGCAAAACGCATTGAAGAACAAACCAGCTTGTGAATCGCGCGTTGGGGCCGTGCCAACAAAGGTGAGAAGATTGTTCACCTGCGCCAAGCAAAGTCTTGTTGACCTTGCTTCGCTCCACCCGCGCTGCTTCCATCTGCCAGGGATGAAAAAGACTCGCCATCTGGCTCGCCCAAGCTCTGCACATGGCCAACTCATGCTCAAAGTCTTCGTCTTCGTTGCAGACCTCATCAACTTGATCGGCTGGGCGCTGCCCATTTTCACATTTGGTAAGCACCTCGGCAACAGAGCTGAAGGCCTGAGAGTTCAGCATGGCTGTGTGCTCCGCGACATTTGCCTTGCTGCCTTGTTTGTTAACAGCGTCCTGCGAGCTCTGGCTGCGCTTCTTCAGCACCTTGATCCACTCAGCTTGCGGAAACCGACGTGGATATCGCCTCTTCAGGCATATTCCAACAAACTGCACCTTCTTGGCAGACACTAGCATTGCGAGGGCCCGTTCAAGGCTGCAAGCGAAGCGCACGAACAGGCCATGCTTCTGAGGAAGGAGGCCGGAGTCAAGGCAGCCCTGCAAAAAATCAGCTCCAACAGCTTGCGCCCAGGCGCTCGTTCTCTCAGCCAATGGAAAAAACGCCAGCCGTGGTGTTGGTTGGGCGCTATGCGACAAGCACACCATGTCGTGCTGCTGCAGTGGCAACATTGCAAGAATATCAAACTGAGCTCTCTGCCAAGAGTTGCCCTCCACTTGTTGCCACAAAAAATCATCTTCCACTAGATGGTGACACTGACAGGTTCCAGATGGACAAAGTCGAAGCACTGCAAGGCTGTACACAACGCACCTCCCGTCCATGCACACATCACGAAAGTCGGTTTGCAATCTTTCAGCAACCTTGGCCAGCCACGCTTGGTTCTGCCTGCGTGCTCGCCGCCGGGACTGCAAAGGACGAGAGCACACGAGCGCTGCAAACGCTTGTGGAGCTTGCAAGCGGACCGGACCCATACTCCATTGCCTCGTTTTTGGCGCGGTTATTGCAACATTAAATGATGGGCTCAAACATTTGAGAGGCTAGATGCTTGACAACTGGTTTGACGGTTTGACAAATGAGAGGCTAGCGCTTGACATCCGAAAGGCTGAGACACTCGAAGCTTGAACCCAAGCACAATAGATCACACGCTGCAACGACACAGCTTGGCTCCCTGGCATCATCCCGGCTCTGAGCTCACTGAGCTCTGGGTTCCTGGCGCGCAACACGTCCCACGAGGCTTGGTGCTAAAGAGCTGGCAAAACTAAAAGTAAAGATTGCAGAGCAAGGCGTGTTTTTTGAAAAGTGATTTGTTGAAAAAATGCCCTCCTCAAAAATCCCTGATTTAGCAGTAACATTCGCTTTCGTTTTCCGTCTGAAACCAAGGTCTAAGCCCAAGGCCCTGAACACCAGGAAGCCAGCCAGCCCCGCAAAGCGCATTCGGAAACTAGATAAGCAAAGGAACAAACACGTCCCACCTTATGAGAAACAAAGCGTAAACACGTCCATGTCCCTGCTCAAGCCTAGCCTAGCTTCTGCAAGTTCTGGTGAGCAGCAAGCTTAGCATCATGCTTCGCAATTTCTCGTGTCAGTTTCTGTCGCGTGCGATGTTGTGCATTGATGCTACTGCGCTTGGCGCCGTGGGCCGTGGGTGATGCGCATGACTTGTCCAAATTAGTGCGCAGTTTGGCTGCGCAAGAAGGCTCCGGCTGAAACATCCTTAAGTTTCTACACGCAAAGGTCGCACGCGACGCGCGCTCTCGCAGCCCCTGCTTGAAAATCACCGATTTTACGCGCAGTAGTAATATTCGAGAGAGTGTGCTCCATCATCTCCAGATTGCAAATTGCAACTGATCGCGCTTCCGCATCTCCAACTTGAAAATCTTAACTTATGATTATGCGCGCAAGCGTAGTGTGCGAAGACTCAAAGGCTAGTACCTTTGTCTAAAAAAGCAAATCCATTCCACGCTCAACTTTGCCAGCTCATGGGAGTGCACTTTGCGTAGTACCTTTGTCAAAAAAAAACAAAACCATTCCACGCTCAACTTTGCCAGCTCATGGGAGCGCACTTTGCGTAGTACTTTTGTCTAAAAAACAAATCCATTCCACGCTCAACTTTGCCAGCTCATGGGAGTGCACGTTGCGTAGTACTTTTGTTTAAAAACCAAGTCCATTCCACGCCCACGCTCAACTTTGCCAGCTCATGGGAGCGCACTTTGCGTAGTACTTTTGTTTAAAAAACAAATCCACGCCCACGCTCAACTTTGCCAGCTCATGGGAGCGCACTTGGCGTAGTACTTTTGTTTAAAAAGAAATCCATTCCATGCTCAACTTTGCCAGCTGTAGCATGCGCTCGGAGCAAGTTTCAACTTGAAGCGCAGCTTCACTTTTGAGCAAGCAAGACTCACGCGGCGAAGCATCTGAGCTAGTGGCACTGCGCATCTCTGGAGAGCGCCAGGTGACCAGGTGGCCGGGCCCCTGGCAAGCGCTTCAAGCAAATTTCAACCTGTAACCTGCAACTTCAAGCTCCACAATTGATTCAATTGAGCAGGCAAGGCAAGGCCATTTTCACACAGCGTGTGGGCACCTCTTCATCAGGCTCAGGAACCCCTTGCAGCCCTCGCACTCGCGACTCGCGGCCTTGCGGCGTCCTCCGCATCAGCATCTCGAAGGAAAATCCCCGAAGCCATGATGGCGACCTTGCCGTTCGTGGAAACAAACAGGTTCTCTGCTGGACCGCTCAGCTGACAATAGTAATCCTTCTGCCTGAACTTCAAACGGCACCTGTAGAATCGTCCTTCAGCGCGGAAATACTCACTGTTCACAGTCCGAAGAACTGCCTCCACATCCTTCTTCTCCGCTTCCAACTCTCCGACCCATTTCTGAATCTCCAGCAGCAAGCAGTCGCAGGCATCCCTCAGAGCCGCAGGCACAAAGCGTCAAGTAAAAACAAACACGAGAGGCTGCACAACTGAATCAAGCCAGGCTGCGCAAGCACCTTGCTGAAGACTACATGGTTCAAAGCCACAAAAAAATCGCGAGCTGCTGGGTCATCCTCATTCACCTCGAAGTGCCGCGGCATGTGCCTCAATCTCAAGCTTGCTGCAAATCAATCTCAATCTCAAGGAGATCTCCTTTCGTGGCCAAGCTACTCATCCTGGATCTCCGGACAGTTGTCCAAGTGATACTGCCACACCGCCCATTCGGTCGGGTGCATCTGCGTCCTGTTCTCCTTTGCCACCTCCAAGGCCATCCTGAAGATAGCAGTGTCCATCGGATCCATCGCTCGACTGCACACTCACCACACACGCTGCACGAGCCACCTTGCGGCCGCAACCACAGTCAAAAACACGCTGCAAAGCCTGCGAAGGCAAGCAAACCAAATCCAAATCACACGCGGCAATGCAAAACAAGGCGGAAGCGCTTCGGCTCAGGCAGATCATCCCAAAAGCCCAAGCCTTGGCGCAGGCTGCACGTGCTTAACAACTTTCAATTCTCAAGCTCCTGCCAGGAGCGATGGCCAAGTCCACCCACTGGGTCGCCCTGAAGCAACTAGAACAATGGCCTTGTTTCCAAGATTCTGCATCAACCCCAAACCCAGGTTAAGGTTCCAAGCAACAAAAAATCGCAAGCAAAGCGCGCAACCTGACTGCGACCGTGGCAGACTTGCCCAGGCATACACATGAGAAAATACGTGTCAGGCCCAAACCCATTGAGTCAATAAAAGGCTTAGGCCTCTGTCGGGCGCAAGCTCCAGCAAGTCGCCAGAAGCTGCCAGACCTGAAAATGCCAATGCACGAAACAAATTTCAACATGAAAGAACAATGGCCTGGTTCCAAATACCGGCCCAAGTCCACATTGAAAGCTGAAGCCTGCCACAGAATGCACGAAACAAAGAACACGGTGAAAGAACAACCAAAGCCGGCCCCAAGCCCACATTGAAAGCTGAAGCCTGCCAGAGCAAGCGTACGAAAACCTAGCTCCACGAGGAAAGAACAATGGCCTGGTTCCAAATACCGGCTCCAAGCCCACATTGAAAGCTGAAGCCTGCCACAGAATGCACGAAACAAAGAACACCGTGAAAGAACAGTGCACGAGGAAAGAACAATGGCCTGGTTCCAAATACCGGCCCCAAGTCCACATTGAAAGCTGAAGCCGAAGCCTGCCAAAGCAAGCGTAGGAAAGCCTAGCTCCACGGTGAAAGAATAATGGCCTGGATCCAAGTAAAGCGCAAGCAAAGTGCCAAGCCTGCCAAAGCAAGCATACGAAAACCTAGCTCCGCGACGAAAGAACAATGGCCTGGATCCAAGAAGTCGGCGTTGAGAATGTAGGCGCCTCAAAAACTGCAAGAAATCGGGGCAGAATGCAAGCAAAGTGCCAAGCCTGCCAAAGCCTGCGAAAACCTAGTTCCACGATGAAAGAGCAATTGCCTGGATCCAAGAAGTCTGCATTGAGAATGTAAGCGCCACCAAAAAAACTGCAAGAAATTTAGCAAAGTGCAAGCAAAGTGCCAAGCCTGCCAAAGCGTACGAAAACCGAGCTCCAGCTCCACGATGAAAGCGCAATGGCCTGGATCCAAGAAATCTGCATTGAGAATGTGAGCGCCACAAAAAACAGAAATTGAGCAAAGTGCAAGCAAACTGCCAAGCCTGCCAAAGCGTACTAAAACCGAGCTCCAGCTCCACGATGAAAGAGCTATGGCCTGGATCCGAGAAGTCTGCATTGAGAAAGCAAGCGCCACAAAAAACTACAAGAAATTGGGGCAAGCAAAGTGCCAAGCCTGCCAAAGCAAGCGTGCAAAAACCTAGCTCCGCGATGAAAGAACAATGGCCTGGGTCCAAGAAGTCTGGTTAGAATGCACACGCTCTTCAAACTGCAAGAAATCGGGGCAAACACGTAGAGCGCCAAGCCTGCCAAAGCAAGCGCGAAAGCCTATCTCCACGATGAAAGAACCATGGCCTGGATCCAAGTACCTCGCTCCACGATGAAAGAAAAATGGCCTGGATCCAAGTAGTCTGCAGTGAGATGAAGCACTTCAAACAATCAAACAAAACAGAAAACCGAACAGCTCAAAAGCTTGGGCCTGGGCCTGTGTCAAGCACGACCTTCAGCAAGACCTGCCAAAGCACACTCATGAGACGCGCAAAAAAGAGCATTGGCCTGGGTCCAAATACTGGCCCGCCCCGTCACGCCGTCGCCGTGCAGCGTGTGCTCCAGGAAGCCCTCAGCAAGTAGTCATGTTGAAAGCGAAACGAATGAAGAATGGCATGCAGTCGCACAACCCTCAATCAAGGAGCCGCACGTGAGTGGCAGTGGCTCTGAAGCCCAAGCCATCGCTTTGTCCGCTGCGGCAGCTTCTGAAGGTGATTGCTAGGCCTGTTGCCTTGAGTTCCCTGGCGTGATGTGGCGTTGTTTTGATGGTTTTTATTTCACAGCGGCGTTGGTATTTTTGCTCTGGTTGCTATCATGTGTAGCCGGTAGCCTCTCGCACCAAGCCTGCCCGAGCAAGCTCTCAGGTTGAAGTTGAAGCCCCTAAACAACCAGGGGCCGTCATCATGAGCCGCCTTCCAGCATGAGCCAAATGCGTACACATCGTCTTCGGCCGGCTCAGATTGCCCAAAAGAGCGACGCATTGTTTCGCACAGAGCAGCGAAGAAGCCGAGTTTGCCGAAGACATGAAAACAAACAAGCATGCAGAGAGCAAATTGCTTGACTTGGGTGGTTGATGGTCCTTCATGGTTCATGTCATCTTCACGGACCACAAGGCAAACCCCAAAACCAAGCACGAATCAAGTCATGAAGATGTTGGCTCCTTTTGGGTTTCACGAAATCAACTTTTGAGCTTTTCCACTCGACACCCGCTCACTCCTTCACTGTTGGCTTAGTTTCCAACGGGTAAATCTTTATATAAATCAAAGTCATTGTACACCCGGGGCCCGCCCCTCTCTCCGAAATGTTCAACTTGATAACGGACACGGTTGTCAGAAAGTGTCACAAAACCCCTCAAATAAACAATCGCGGCAAGTGAAAAAATAATCAATAGATACCAAACATCTGGGCAAGTGTCAGGAACAGGAATCAAGAAACCCAAACATCCAAGCGGGCCACATTTGGAGCAGACTCAGTGAGTCTAAAGTCTGGAGTCTGAATCTGTGAGTCGTCTGTGAGTACTTGAGTACTGAGTACTGTGGGCGTCGGCAAGTCTGCTGCAGTCAGTCTGAGTCAGTCTGCTTGTCTTCTGCGTGTCTGCTTGTTTTCTGTGCAGCGTGCGCAACGGCGGCCCAACAAACCACTGAGCCCGCGCCGGGCCGGCGGCCCGCGCAGTGACTGACACTCTCAGACACAGCCAGCAGCCAGCATGGGGGCCAGCACGCAACTGCAGCATAACATTTGTCAGGAAAGGCACTGAGGCACGGCAAGGGCGTGCAAGCTCAGGACCACGGACCACCCGCCCTTCTCAGCCCGATTCTCAGCCTTCTCACGCACCGTCACGCGCAGTGGGCTTAACCATAGAGCCAACACATAGGAAATCATGCGTCAAGCTCCGCTATACCTGGTGACACCTTTGTGACTTGAAAAACTTGTAACGTAGGGGTGTCGCATATGTTATCACCAACTACGACTGGCTCCAGACTTAGGATCTGATGAATTGACCGATGGCGTCGGTCAAAACGCTTGGGACACCTTGGCCTCATGATGAATTGGCCGGCGAAGCTATGCGTCGCGTGCATAATTTTATAGGACACTTGTCTCAGCGGTTATGACCTGCAAGGCATTCATGAGCCAACCTTGCCCATTCATGAACCAACCTTGCCCATTCATGAGCCATTGATGAATCATCCGGTTCCATTATTGACTCAAACTTGCCAAGAACCGAGTCCTCTCGGGAACCGCTTTTGCGCACTTTTCGGCCCCAAAGAGAGCGGTGACGAAGTGGTGACAAAGCGGTGACAGAAGAGGCAGCGCTCCAAGTCAATCTTGCACTTGGCGTGCTTGCCCTTGGCGCTCACCTTGACGGCGCGCTGCAGCTGGCTCTCAAGCTCGGTGCGGGCGGCCCCCGGAAAGGGCTTCTGGAAGACGATCATGTTGTCGATGACGCCCTGCTCCACCTCCTCCGTCCAGCTCCAGGTCGGTGTTGGTCGCAAAGCGCACTCCCACCCTCTTGGCCCCGTCGTCCCCCCCCTTGGCATTGGTCTGAACGTCCAGCCCGAGTGCAAACTTCATTGCGAAGTTCGGCTTTTTATCTCGTGGAGAAAAAAATCCGGTCCGATGAACGTGCGAGTTTTCTTGGTCGTCGCACTGGCGGTGATCTTGCTCTTTAAAAATGCCGAGACTCCTGGAGCTTTTCTGCGGCACCAAGTCGGTGGGCAGGGCCTTCGAGGCGGCGGGCTGTGAGGTCGTCTCCCTGGACATCGTGTCGAAATTTGAGCCCACAATCCTTTGCGACATCCGGGGCGCAGGGCTGCTGCTCCTTCAGGCCCCCCAGGTATGCAAAGGCTCCGCCCACGCCCTCGGCAACGACCTCGCCCTCCTCCGCCGCTGCCACGGCCGCCGTCTCCTGCGCGCGCCCCGCCTCGTCCAGGAGGCGCTCCACGTCACTGGGCCGGCCTATGGCTGCGGTTGGCCCGGACGGGGCAGCACGTTCAGGCGCAAGGCCTGCACGGCTGCGAGCCCCGCCGCTCCTGCGCCTATGAGGTCCGCCGCCGCCTGAGCGCCGTCGGCCGTGCTGCGCAGACGTTGGTACCTCCGCGCAAGGCGCACGTCCTCGTCCGTGGCCTCGGCGGGAGTGCGGAAGCCTTCCTCGGGAATTGCCCTCAAAGGCGTGCGCTGCAGGGGCCGGGGGTTGGGGTCCTCGCTGGACTGTACGAAGTCGTCCAAGTAGAAGTGGCTCGTTACGAACGACGTGGCCTTGCGGTCCGGCTGGTCCAGGGGCAGCGGCTCATTCCGCTCAAGGTAGCCCACCACCTGCTCAAAGCGCGGGCGCTGATTGAAGCCGTGCGCCCGAAGCGTCTTCATTTATTGTTGCGCAACTTCGTCCGCCGCCCGTTCCACGCCCCGGCGCTCGGCCCGCGCGTAGCGCAGCTGGGGGACCTGGCGGCGCACGGCCTCCGTCAGCCGGCTCACGTCGTCCAGGTGCCGCTGCCCGTCCTGGGCTAGCCTGCGCTCGCTTAGGCAGGAGTTGAAGGCCCGCGCCTCCTCCAGCTCTCGGTAGCGCTTCAGCAGCAGCGGCTGCAGGTTGTAACTCGGATACGTCTTGCGGAACCACCGGAGCATCTGCGGCTCGTTGCGGGGTTCAGCACGCTTGCGCCTGCGGTCAACCGGTCATAGGCGGACTGCCTCTCCAGCACGCGCAGGGCGCGCTGCTGCTCTCTTGTAAGCTGAGGCGCCTCGGCCGGTGCCTCCTGAGGCGCCTCCGCCGCGTCAACCGGCGCCGTCTCAAGTGGAGGCGGCTTTGGCTTGCGCTTCGGGGCAGCCGGCTCAGTAGGCACGTCCTGCTTTGGTTTGTTCTTGCTGCCAGGGGGCCTGCCCCGTCGTTTCGGCTCCGGCGCAGCGTCCGGCGCAGCGTCCTGCGCAGCGTGCCTCCGCCTCTTGCGCCTCCGCCTCTTGCGCCTCCTCGTGTTTGGTCGTCTCCATCCTTTTTAATTATACGTGGTCGAGATATAGGACGAACGACAAAGACGACGTTGCCGTCCAGGTCGGTCAGCCGGAAGCGCATGTGCCTCAGGGTGACGGGGCCCCTGAGAGCCATGAAGTGCAGCGCAGGTAGACCTCGTTGTGCG